AGTGTCAGGGCAAAGGGTGAAAAGAGGCAGGAGCTTATAGTGGAGAACATGGCAGAAATTTGCTCATATGTGGTTCCGTGCTGTGAACCTTAGAAATCAGATGCTACTCTTCCAAGGACTAAGGACAGGTAGTGCCAGCCACCTGGAGGGACATTTTACACTCATTTTAGCCCTCATTCCAACTCTCTTTTCTAAAACCTAGCCAAGAACTAAAACAAAAGTTGCACAACTGTTCATGTCTATACAGTGAAGCTAATATACATTTTGGCATCTCCTAAAAACAGCATTTCTATTAGGCATAATAATAACCGATGCTAGGCTTTTTCCATTGTGGTGAAGTAAGCAAACCCACAGACACTGCTATATTTACAGGGTAATAAGGTGACTGTGAAGGCAACTATAACCATTTATAAGGTGAGATATTAACAAAAAACAAAAGGAGAAGGAAGGTTTACCTGTGTGCTTTGAACCAAATTTCAGAAGGAGCTGCTGGGAGATTTGCTTGTCAAACTTCACTGACAAGGGGCGGTAGTTCAATAGACCCTTTCAGGTCAAGATCTGACTGCCTGTCTACACCATGTGCTCTGCTGGAAGGGGTGTAGTGAAGCAAGAGAGGTACTTGGGGGTACCACTGGTGAATGCTCTCATTTGCAGGCTGACCTTGCCCTTGTGATCCTTCTCTATTTCATCCCGGCCTGACACTGATACAGGATCCATTCTGACAGAGCACAGGATGCCTACAGATAGCTCAAACTGACATGGGAGAGACCTGGGGGTGCAGGGTGGCACCTTGATCTATCATCGACTTCCAGGGACTGGCATTAGGTGATCCTTTCAGCCTGGTCATCTCTTACTCCTATTGCCTGATGTGACCTTCCTCACTTTGTTACCTTGGGAAATCTCACTCAGCTTTCCCTTATAGAATCCATTGGAATTTGTATTTTAAAGGAGGATGGTGATTACTACAAATGAATCTGTAATGTATGGGGCTCCTGGAAGTGTGTGTGAGCCAGAAGCTAGAGTTTTAATCCTTATGGGGAAATATTTGGCAGTGCCTGGATCCTCAAGTCTAGGAAGTAAGAATTTGGCTAGGTGGGATTTGCCTTACAAGTTAGCAAAAACACTTCTAATTGCCAAAAGAGAATCCAATTATCTTTGTGACCCTATAGTGTAGGCTGGTGATTATTTGTTTTATAGATGAAAATTACAATTATATAACAATTATTTTATAACAATTATATGATATGAGGATGTTAATTGCAACATTGTTTATAGCGGCAGGAAACAGAAAATAACCCAAATATCAATGGCAGGAGATGACCGAGCAATACCAGGTACTTTAATACTCTCAAATTAAAAGAAATTAGGGGATCCCTTGGGTGGCTTGGTGGTTTAGCACCTGCCTTTGGCCCAGGGTGTGATCCTGGGGTCCCAGGATCAAGTCCCGTGTCGGGCTCCCTGTGTGGAGCCTGCTTTTTCTGCTTCTCTCTCTCTTTGTCTTTCATGAGTGAATAAATAAAATCTTTAAAAAAATAAATAAAAGAATTTAGATGGAAGGTAGCCCTATATACTCTGTCTTGGAAAGTTGTTTAAGGTATATTTCTGAATGAAGAGGAAAAAATAATAATATATCTAATGGGAAATGACATACAAGAACAACATCCCATATTAATTTTCTATTATTTTTTCTTGGCAAGATTATTTGATGGCAAATGCAAAGTGGAAGCATACACAGCAAAGTGACCACAGTTATGTGAGCAAAGGGGGCAGGATAGGAGTGATGAACTAAATTTGTTTTTTAAGCAGAAAACATGCATACATTTCTTTTGTAATGAAATGTTTTTAAGTGAAAAGCTAGGTGTTTGATGGCAACAGTATACTGGTTACAACATTAAATACTGAGTCTGTGCTTATGAAATGCCACCAAGTCAACACATAGCCAAAGGGCTTTTAGGGTGAAGGGCTAGAGGGACATTGCATTGTTTTTCAATTTTTATCTATACACTACCTCTTGCCAACTTTTAAGTTGGCTACAGACACAGTAAATAGGAATGTGATGGGATGAGGCCTTCTTTGAAGATGATTTTAGGTACCTGTACCAGCAAAGGGTCTCCTTACACTTAATGCAGAATATTTAGAGAGGCAATATGCCCATCATCTTCATATCCATCCCCCTGCCTTTAGCCCTTGGGGCCCTGTGAGAGTGGTCAGTCTTCCATCCATGAGTCCTTTGCCTTTGAGAACAGGGCACTTATGCCACCTACTGATGGCTGGAATTTATTATATCTCCCCTTTACACAAGCTTGCTCACTGATGGGGGTACTATTCTGGACAAAGTCCAAATGGAATAGATGAAATCAGGAGATGTACTCACTTAACAAAAATTCTGGGGGGTCAGACACTAGCATATCATAATACCCACTTATATGAACACCGCTCCCTAGGGAGTAAGGTCTGTGATTAATAAACATCACTGTATTGACAAACATGTATATACTTGGACACTTATTGCTGAATCACAGTTTTAAGTGAAATCTTAGTTTTATGGGGCAGAGATGAAAAATTCCTTTGAGTAGATTATTTATTGTGATTTAATCATCTCTGATGTTTTATTTTAGAGGAGTTAAGAGTTTATGTGAATTCCACATACTAAGTTTACCAAAGAAATGGGGAAATCTACTTAGGGGTAGCTTAAAATGTGTGAGTGTGTATGTATATGTGCGTGTGTATGTGTACTCTCAATAAACTGAAGAGTGAGGGTCGCTGCCTACACCCTGCCCTATTCCAGTGACTTGAGTAGCATGTGGAAGAATTTGGACCCCTCTGTACTGGGAACTCCCCTCATCAATACCAAAGAGAAAAATGTTATGACTTCCTTGACTGATTGAGTTAGTGGAAAAAAAAATCAATTCAGAAACTAGCAGGAGAGGTTCCCAATGCCCTTTACAATGTCTAAACATGCTGGTGCATGCAAGTAATAAAACTTGGTTCTCTGGTGCTCCTTCACCATTAAGCGTACTCATTTCAGCAGCCCCCTTTCTGGTTTTCCCATGGTTCTGCATGGTGAAGGCCTCACCAACCCACTGCTATCAAAAGGTCATTTGTACTTTCCTTAGGTTTTATGTTATGGTGCAAATAAACCACAGCTTATTCCTGGATTCAAAAGTTCTACGAATCTCCGATATCAGAGATAAGAACATTTGAGGGCACAGGTCTGTGCTGTTTCCCTCCTTTACAAGATTATTATATGCTATTTTGCTCATTTTCTTCTTAATTAAGAAAATGTGTAAACATTTCAAATACAGATGCACAGAAATGGAAATGTGGAAGTCCTCACCCCTGTGCTGCAGTTGGCATGAGACTGAGAAGAACAATTTTCCAGTGGAAAAGGCCTGCTTGGTTAGGCATCCCCTCCCTCTCTTCCCTCCCCTCTTCCTCAGTTCCTCTGTTTTCACGTTTTAAGATCAGGATTTTCAAATATGCACAAATGAGAGGAAATAGTTAAAATAAATACTCCTGGCCCCTTATTAATTTACTTTCAAACATTTTCAATATTTGTCTGTTTTTTTTTAACATTTTAAAACAAATGTCACACTTGTATCCTTAAAAGATAAAGTTTTTTCTTTTCTAGTCAAACCAAAAAACCATTATCATGCCCAATATATAAGTGTATTTTATTAATATAATAAATATAATATGAATGTTTATATTTAGATAAAGCCTAATATCACCTGTGATAGTTAAGCTTACGTGTCAATGTGACTCGCCCATGGGTGCCCAGATATTCAGTCAACCACTATGCTGAGTCATTCTGTGAAGGTTGTTTCTCGTGAGGCTGGCATTTACAATAAGAGGCAGAGTAAAGCAGATTGCTCTCCCAATGTGGATGAGCCTTGTCTAATATGCTGAAGGCCAGAACAGACCAAAAGGCTTATCCTTTCCTGAGCAAAAGGGTATTCTTCTTGCCTGATTGCTTTCAAACTGGAAATTCATCTTTTTTTCTGCCTTCACACTCACACTGAGAAACTGGCTCCTCCTGGGTTTTGAGCCTTCTGGATTTCAGACAGAACTACATCATCAGCTTTCCTGGTTCTCACACTCTCAGACTTGGGACTAGAAACAAACTGTCAGCTCTCTTTGGTGTCCAGCTTGCAAACTTGGACTTGCCACTTCCATGATCACGTGATCCAATTCCTTATAATATAAGTGTGTGTGTATAGAATCTCCTATTGATTCTATTTCTCTGGAGACTCCAGATTAATACATCAACTAATCACCAGATCATATTCCATTTTTCCATATGGCTCAAAGATGTCTTTTTATATATCATTTGAATCAGAATCTAAATAAGTTCCATACACTATTTTTAAAGTCTATAAATATCAACTATACTTGTGAAATGAAATGTTTTCTTTTTTATTGTATTTCTCAAATAATATTGGATAAGCCCTACAACACAGAACATTAAACACAGGCTTTTAGAATCTGATTCCATATTTATAAAGATAAGAGTATGTGCCTTAAATGCATCAAGATTGGACACAGGAAGAAAATAAAATACATTTCAACTAACAGCAGTATACTCTTAAAAAGTCAATGAGCTTCTTTGTTCACTCTAGCTTTCACATCTATAAAATAAGAAATGCATCTATGAAATATTTACTTAGTCTTCTTCACAGAGATGCAGTGAGGGGGAAAGGTAGCCTCCCAGAAACATTTCTGAAATAAAGTAGCAAAAAGTGAAGGAATTTATAGATTATCATTATGATCTGCATCCAAGGAACCGGTTTTGTTTCTTTATTTACAACTGAGGTCTTACTCTCAGATGAAAATCGTACTATTAATACAAATCTGTGCTGGATTACTAACATGAACAAAAACAAATACATTGTGTAATAATGAAAAAGGCCTGGTTGTCAATCAAACATAATTCTGGAAGTTTAACACAGGCTGAGAAACCATACAGGTTGACCTCTCAGGTCACCACCTCAGACACTCACCCAGTACTGTTGAGATAACTCTGTCCTAAGCTGCAGTCCTTTGACAGAGAAGATGGATTGAACCAAAATGCTGGCAGACACTGACCATTGCTGTGTCGCTCATACCCATAATCACTGTGGGAGAAGAGCCAAGAGAGACTTTTCAGTAGGTGGCAAAATTACTGGGAACAGTTTCATGGTAGCCCACAGCCAACTTCCAATCTAGCCAATTAGTCAAAAAATAAGAATTCACTGAATCAATATCTTTCCCAAAATGGATCTGTTTTTTTCCCCTGTGGAATATCTGTCAACTAATTACCCATGACAATATCCTACAAAACCCATTTTTAGAAAAGCAAAATGGAAAGCATCACAGAACCCTGTGTAGACAGAGGCTCAATGACCAATAATTCCAAGTAAATGGCTTTAGGTTGAGAGAGTAGACTATGTTCTCATTAAGAGAATACCCAGTATTGACGGTGGTTGGGCCCCAAGAAAGCTGCAATTAGAAAAGAGACATTGGTGAAGCTCAACCCTCAGTGTAAACATCACTGGAACAAACACAGCCACATGTGGCACAATTCTCATTCCTGGTGATGTCTTTGGGGTGCTCTTCCAAGACATCTGGATCTACCACATAGAACTGAGCCAGTTCTCTCCATGCACACTCCATATGCTTCAAAGTCACGGCAGAAAAGGAAAATGTCCTTGAGGACTGTCACGAGCACTCCCCCAAGGAAGTTTTGTCCTCATTAGGTAGCATTGTCAGTTGGGACTAACTGCTCTAAATCGTCTCTTGACTTTGGAAATAGTCAAAGACCTTTCTCTCTGTATCCTCTCTTTCTTGCCTCCAGGGGCCCCTGCATGGCCTGATATTCTTGGCTTCTGGAAGATGAACTTGGGCACAGAGGATGACAACAAATTGCATCTCCACATGCACAGACAAATCACAGACAGTAACCAGCAAGCATTAGTATGAATTGGCCCGTCTGTGTAATGGAGGTGAGATGCTGGTACACAAGGGTCAGGAAGGAAGAAACAGGCTTGGCCAAGGGGCCTGTCACCAGGCAGCTGGCACTTAGAATTCTGCACAGATCAGCTCGGTGCTGGTGCTGGTGCTGGTTCAACACAGCATGGATAGAAGACTTCAGAAATGCTGCCTACAGGACACCTGATGTTCATTGCTGGGAATTACTTTACAAATGTCGAAGCATGGCAGGCAAGGTCATGTGGGAGACCGTCCAGGGGAGAGCCAAGCTAAGAAGGGAGCATTTAGTGACAACCACCTTTCATTACACTGCAGTCAAGTGGAATCACCAAAGCTCTAGCTACTAGTGTAGAGACTCAACAAGGTCATGGTGAGTTTTACAAAAATATTTTTAGAAATCATGCAGTAAACAAAAATCACATTTGACCAGAAAACCTTAAAATGACCTAATTTATAATTCACTGCCCACTTCTCAGAATAGATTTGAGTTAGTGGCATGAGTAGCAGATTCCAATCACAAATAAATACAAGAATTGAGCCAAGATTGGAGGAGAGTTGAGAGATAAAGAAAGGGAGAAGACTGACTGCCTTCCTTACCCTGTGTTCCTTTCACTCTAACTTAAAACTGAAAAAGAAAAATAACACATGACAATGACAACAACAAAAGACTAGCTTATTTTTTAATTTTTATTATTTTTTAAGACTAGCTTATTTTGGAACCTTGTAGAAAAGTTGCCCCCAAACCCCAAAATATCTCTAGGAAAAATCAAGGAATCAGGACATCTCACCTCACCTTTTCTCTTTGGTTTTCTACCAGAAAAACATTGCTCTTTACAAAAGGACGACTATTTGGTAAGGCTGACGTTAAATGACTAAGATAAAATGTTAACTTCCTTTACAACTCTTCCTTGAGGAGAGGGGATAAAGGAGAAGCAGTCAGAAAGAGGGATGGGATGAAGGACCTTAAAATTCCATGGATGTTCTCCCTGTGACTGCATTTTGGGGTGTCAATCCTGAAAGGTAGGGAGAGGATAGGATATTTTTATCATTGTAATAATGGTACATTGGCCAAAACAGAAGTTACAGGTGGGGAGACCCCTGTAGAATTCCTTGGGAGCTCCAATGTAACTCAAGTTCAACTGACCTCTGGCTGAGCCCAAGAGATACAGCACTGGCTCTTGGTTTGCCTTGTCTACCAACAAGAGGGGAAAAAGCCTTGGGTTATCAGACTGAGGGCTGGTGGCCAATTCTGGAAGGCCTGTTCAGGACTATTTATTCAGAGAATGTCTCCAGAGGTCTACCATGGGAGAAGACTTACTTTTTCTAAGCTATATGATGTGTATGCACACAGTATCTCAGCCCAGTCACTGATATTTTGATGGTTAGATAGGTGATCTGTGAATGCTATACAGGTAGATATCCAATACGAAAGGAATGACTTTGGTGCCTCATGCAGGTCAAGTTTCCATCACCTAACACTGATGTATATATTTAGCAATTGCTTTCTCTAAACCAAAATATATAACTAAATTTTAAGAAAAGGAAAGAAAAGAAGAAAGAAGAAAGGCATTAAATGAGATGGATATGATGAAGGGAGTTACCACCTACTCATCCTTAATAATTTCCAACCTCATTTGACAGCCAAACTCCGACCTAGAATAGAACAAGGGTAGCACTGCCCCTCTGGCGAGCTTTCTGCTTACCAGATGCTTCAGAAAGGATGCTATGGCATGCAAATATTTCAGTCCTTTCTAGTTTATACTAGCTGAATCCTGGAAAAGGGAGAAGTCTTCCATACCATCAGGTCCACAGAACCACAGATTTCCAACTGCCCCTGAATCAATCCTTGCATTGAGATCAGAAAAGTCTTCCATACCTTGCAGGAGTCATCATCAGCCAATCAACCACTGGCTGAGAACCTCCAGGGACAGCAAGTATCCTGCCTTCTAAGATCATTGTTCCACTACTAGGAACCTAGAATCTAGGAAGTTTTTACCTTGAGCACAAATGCATTTACTGTCTGAAAAGTCAACTTCCTGTTTTCAGTGTTGTTGTCTAAAGCAACTTGGTAGATGTGGTCCTTTTTTTTTTTTTTTTTTTTTTTGGTCCTGGGTGCTACTAGATATGTGAAGCTAATTACCAGCCATCTTGTGAATTCTCTTTCAGCCCAAAGAAATTCCTAGTGTTTCCATATACGCATACATATGGCTAATACACTATGCTGTTCTCAAAAGGTAATTCCATAAGAATATGAGGCTTGTCACTTCACTCATATGTATATGCTACTATTATTTCAAACCTTAGCTTTCATTAAGGCCCATGTGGATCTGATACATGAAATGAATGATTCCATGGAGTCCCGGCACAAGCTTACCAGTCAAAATCGGCCTCTGTGCAGACACAGGGTTCAGATTCCATAGCTCCTGCATATTTGCCTTGCATACACTTACGCTCTGATTTTCGCTTCTTATATATCCTTTTTGCTCCCATGATGCACGCTTCCCCCTGTAAGGAGACAAGCATCTCATGTAGTTGGGCAGAGTTTGGACCTTCTCTGATCCACATTGGGACATTCAGGGAGATGTTTTCTAGCTTTAGTGTAATCTGGACACAGGTAGCCTGCTTTGTGCTAATGGCATTTTCTTTTTGAGGTCTAGAACCTTGGTATGGAATGCAACTATAAAGACAATCCTAAGAAGCATTGAGGGTGTGTCAGAAACATCCTGAAATCTTTATGTATTCGGCAAACATTTACTTGGCAAGGTATGAGGCACCATGCTACGATGGACATACAGATGCCTAAGACTTGAGCTATAACAAATGCATTGCCAACAAATCTATGGTAATTAAGTTCACTTCATCTATAATAAAAGATTTATGCATGTAATCATTTATGAGCATCTGAAAGAAGAGTATTGCTAAGAAATATAAAGATCCATTTTGCTTCGATTTATTATGCCTCTGCCCACACAACTTTATAACACTTATTTTATGTCCACCTACCAGACAACTGAGAGAACTAAACTCAGTGTTTCTCCACAAAATAAACAAAAGCTTTGAATATCACAGTGCCTGTGTATCCCAAAAGGGGAAATAGCAGCAACGTAAATGAGCAATAATTTTATTGTTGAGTCTTCAAAAAGACTATATGATTCTAGCTGATGCAGCCCCAACTGTCAAACACAGCTTTGTGTCTGAGGGCAGAGAAGAGTTCTGTGTGGGCTAGTATAAAACTAGATTTCTTGAGCAAATTCACTTTGATCAGCTCCATCACATATACACATCTCTATATAAATATATTACAGTTGACCCCTGAGCAACACAAGAGTTAGATGTGCTGACCCTCTCACACAGTCCAAAATCCACGTGAAACTTTTAACTCCCTCAAAACTTTACTGCTAATAGCTTATCATTGACTGGAAGCCTTACGGATCACATAAACAGTCCATGAACACATATTTTGGATGTGTACTATATGCTGTATTCAATACAGTAAGCCAGAGAAAAGAAAATCACAAGGAAGAGAAAATAATGTTTACAGTGCTGAATTATATTTACTGAAAAAAAATATGCATGCACGTGGACCCGCATAGTTCAAACCACGTTGTTCAAGGGTCAAGGGCACTTAGTCTAGCTTTAAGGATATGATGTGTCACTGTCTGAATATGCTGATGGCTGTGCAGTGGGAACGTCTGCTGTGTCCTTGGAGAGACTTGCAGAATGACTTCCACCCCGGGAAACTGAAGGAGAGATGCTTTCAGCTAAACATTCTGATACAAAGCTGATCAGCTGAGGGGCCAGAATGAAGGAAAGCTTCCTATTAATAATTCTGCACCCTTCGTACCTTGGAAGGAGGCAAGAAGAACTACCTAATCCCAGAGAATCACAGGGTGACAAGGAAGGATTTTACTGGCACCGTTCACCAAGTGTAATTTTATTATTTTATGTCTCTGTTTGCATTGCTACATAAAACTGAAGATCTTTCCTCACCCCTGCCCCTATCCTCCAACCACATGACATGCTCAGATAAATTCTATTTGGATCTACGTGCTGAGTTGGTATTTCATTTTGTGTTGTAAGTCTAAGCCAAGCACATTTGAATTTTATCTCATTATATCCTAGTACAATATAAAAAAGAAATTACTTCACAACAAGTCATAAATGTTGAGTTTGTTCACTGCTGTGGAACACAAAACGTGTAAAAAAGCAGCAGATGTAACTTTAGATGTAGTCGGAGAGGTAAACCGTAGCTGTGAGGAACCCCAATTCCTACACTCACGTGACTGACTGCCTTTCCCCCAACATGCCTCATGCCTTCCACCCAGGACCCTACCTCAGCCCTCCCCCTTCCTACCTGGCTGTGCAGCTGCCAGGGTCTGTAGTCCTCCTCGGCACACCGTCTGTCGAAAATGGACTTGTAGTCCACTTTGACCAGCTGCCATTCAGAGCGGTGGCTGAAGTGTCCAAACACTCTACAGAGTTCACAATGAGAAAAATAATCACAATGGTAACAACTCCAATAGCTAACGTTTGCTGGGTGTTTACCACGAGCTTAGCACAATGGTGAACACATTACAGTGATCAGGTCACTTCATCCTCAAAACACATTTACGAGGAGGGTGACTATTATTGGCTCCGTACCACATATGAGTAATTTGAGGCTCAGAGAATTTCGCTTACATGCAAAACACCAAAGCCAAATCACTAAGAGCCAGTAGAGTCAGAACCCAGAATCCAGGTAGAGTCTGACTACAAACCCACTTCTGCATGTTGTACCACAAGAATGGTTGCAAAAAAAAAAAAAAAAAAGAAAAAAAAAAAGAAAACAATCACAAATGCTGCCTTTTATGTGGTCCAGGATTATGCTTTTATGTCCTCTGGTTAATGCCCATGGTTCCTAGTTTCCCTCCAATTTCACCTTCCTGTCAGTCCCTAAGGAGAGTGGGCATTGAGCTCGGCTGTGAGTACTGTGTGTCCTAAACTCGCATTCTACTCTCCTTACCACTCAAACTCGGGTATCTAATCGGGTGTCTGAATCACCAGTCAGAGCCATCTGTGGATAAAAGCCACAAAGTAGCCTCTGCAAGCAGCTTTTTTTCATCCGTGTTCTACAAATATGAAAACTGATTAAAGACAAATTATGGAAAAAATAGCTAATCTGGCTGTGTGTACTGTGGGCAAAAGTGGAGCTATTAGGCTTATTAAATTTTTGTGGATCTTTTCTATCATTAAAAGGAGGGAAGAAAAAAATTAGAAAATGTACCAACTAATTCACTATGATTTTAAAATTTTCATTGATGACAGGGTTGGCTACTTTAAAACCTTCTCTCTTTTTTCCATGTCCAATTTGCCAGGGGAAGAAAAAAAAACCCTCATAGTTTCAAATTTCAAATTCAAAGCTCATGTTTTGAAACCCTTAAGCAGGCAACTCATTAATCAAGTCTTTCACAAATTAATGATCATCACTTTCCAGACAAGAATGAGTGCAAATACAATTTCACAAGAACAGACTGTTCTCACAGTTTTTCTAATATGCCTCACAAGTGGGTTAGGTAAAGAGCCAGGGAAAAAGAAAATCCTTTGTGGGGTTTTGATCAAGCTCTATGTTCTGCCTTAAAGTGAGATAATTCTTATATGCCTGTGATTTTCTGTATATTGAGTTTACTATTAAAGTTTTAAATGTATAGTTTTATTTTCTATTGAAATAATCAATTCTAATTTCCCTAAGCCCACTCAGTATAGGAAGAAATTAGCTGTGTCCTTCTGCTGCCAACCCTCAATGTGGGTGTCCTAATTAGTAAAGAGCCAAGAAAATAGTCACCCACATTTTTCTTTCCCCTTTGCTGAGAAACCATGAAGTCAGATGTACCGACCTTGGTAGCAATTTCAAATCTAATCAGGCTTTGCTAAAAGCAACACGTTTCTGGGGGCACATGGGTGGCTCAGTTGATTAGGTTCCAAATCTTGGTTTTGACTTAGGCTGAGTTCTCAGGGTTGTGAGATTGAGCCCCACATGGGGCTCTGTGCACAGCATGGAGTCTGCTTGAGATTCTCCGCCTCTGCCCTTCCCCCTGCTCATGCGTGCTCTCTCTCTCTCTTTCTTAAATAAATGAATAAATAAAATCTTTAAAGAGAAAAGAAGAAACAACATGTTTCTGGATTTATATTAAAATTAGAAGACATCATACTTTTCCACTTACGTCATGATTAGAGTCTCTTCCCCAGGCTCACCCAGAACTCCATCCACAAAAAGTGGAATAGATGTGAAACTATACTTGCTCCAAGATCTCCCTTCATCAAAACTCAACCTAATGAAAGAAGAAATAACAGGCATCAGATCTCAAAAAAAAAAAAAAAAAAAATCCTTTCAGAGGAAAGATACTATCAGCCAGGAGAGAATACATTTTAAAAGTACCCGGGGCACTGTCAAAGTAAGCCTTTTATATGAATAAGTATTCTTAATTACATCAGAAGGTAGAAATACAGTTAGCCAAGTGATTTGGGACCCAGATGTTATAACAGCCGTAAGGGGAGAGCCGCATGGAATGGGAATAATAATAAGTCTTTGATAGAATTTTTTTTAATTTGGATATTTTATTAGATCTCAGATCTCAATGTGACCCTTTCCAAAACACTGCAATCTAGCAGCAAGCCTTACTGGTAATTCTGAAGAGCAATGGCCTTATGAGACCTACTTAGATGGACTTGAACCAGCTGCCTCGAAGCAAGCAAACCTTTAGTGGCTTCCCTCCTACACTGTTACGAATCCTAGCTGACTCATTGAGGGAGTGGGTACAGAGGACTGGCTCTCGAGAGTAAGAGAGGTCTGAAACTCTGCTGGTCACACAGGATGTTTCCTTTGCTCTGCCTTTCTCGGTGGATTTCTTCCCCCATGCTAAGTTAAGTTTCCATTTCTCTTATTTCTGCAGCTTTCCCGTCAGTCTCCAAAGTAACTAAGACCAGAGGGAAAATCATGCTTTTGGTTTTGAACAAGCTTGCATGTGGAGAGAGACCCTTTCAAAAACACAGATGAAGGAGTCTATTAGAAACCATTCTGGAAGTTAGGCCTTGCACGTCCATCTGTGTGAGACCTACAGGTAGAGTTGCAGATTGTCACCTCACCTTCTAAAGGAAGCTAAGGAAGTAGAATCAGGGAAAAGGAGACAGGAATAGACATGCCCTGAACTACTGATCTCTGTGCAGAACACATATAATGAATACACGTTAAGCTACTCTTAACTTCTACCCATTGTATACCTGACACACCGCTGTCCCTGTGAATATACCTGAAGGAATAAGGAAGGTACTGGGGAGGGTCTTGACATATTTGAAAAACATCACACAGCAACTCTCTCAGGGGTAGAATCGATCTCAATCTCTCTCTCTCTCTCTCTCTCTCTCTCTCCCTCCCTCCCTCCCTCCCTCCCTCCCTCTCTCCCTCCCTCCTCCCTCCCCTCCTTTCTCCTTTTCATCTTCCTATCTCCTTTCTTCCTTCTTTTGTGAAACTTCAGGCAATATAATCTTATTTTAATAAAGGCAAAGGTATAAATTATGTTCTAGTAGCCATTGACGTTTTACTACAAACACAGTCCCTATCTGATAGCCTGAGTACTCAACTGGTCTTAGCAAGATGGAACCATCCAGTGCATGACTCATGGGCAACAGGTGTCCTTACCAGAGATGTCGAATTGGGAGAGATGTGTGCTTCATAGCAACCAGAACTCCACCCTGATCCAGATACAAAACACTGTGTTCTTCTTCAAAGATCTGCAAGAGGAAAACACATACAGATGGACACATATCCACATCCGCACACACTCAGAATTAGTCTTTGTTAGAGCAGAAAAATCCCTCCCACAACAGAACAGGGTCTCCCAAAATCTTTGGAAAGACGGTTGCACACAATGCTTCCTAAGGTGGGCCGCACATACCACTGGAGTTATATAAAATGACTTTAGGTGTGCCACCAAAGAAATCTGAAGAATTAATAGTTATATATTCATGTTTATATTCCCATCTTTTTTTTTTTTTTTGCAGTAAGTTTGCTGATTCCCACTGATGACCATGTCAGAATACTGGGTAGCCATCATATTGTGTAGCATCTGTAGAAGGAAGAAATCTTAGAGACACTTTACTTCAACATTCTCAATTTTACAGATGAGAAAACTAAGGTTTAGGAAGATGTGACTTGCCTAAGGCCATACATATAGTAACTCACAGAGCTGGGACTTGCAGAATTACGATGTCCTTCCCAGAAGTAATTGTTTCAGAGTTTCCAAGTGTTACAGAGGAAAGTTGTTCTTGTCTAATTTATAGATTCTCAACCAAGCCAAAAAGTAATTCTGATCAAAGTGGAATCAACTTTGGGTAGATGTGTCATTTAGGTTTTTCTCCAAATGTGGAGAAATCAATTTGAAGTCAAGTGGAAACGGGCTGCAAACAATTTCTGTGTCCTCTCCATAAAGGATGTGTGCTCTTTCCTCATAATTGCACTGTTGGCATTGGCTTGTCTGTCGCTACACTACAGACATAATTATTTTCCCCGTTGTTTACCTCTTACACCTAAGGTGTTATCTCAGGACTACAGATGTAGAGAGTTCTTTACTTGGTTTAGGGTGCTGGGAGAAACAAAATGGGATCCTAGCTCTTGAACTATTCCCCAGAGGCAGGTTAATAGTGCATGTACCTACATACCTACATACCTCCAAGATCAATAGCCCTGAGGTTTCTTTTTCTTTTTTTTTTTTTTTTAAGATTTTATCTATTTATTCATGAGAGGGGGCGGGGAGCAGAGAGAGAAGCAGGCTCCATGCAGGGAGTCTGATGCGGGACTCGATCCCGGGACTCCAGGATCATGCCCTGGGCTGAAGGCAGGTGCTAAACTGCTGAGCCACCCGGGGATCCCCAGCCCTCAGGTTTCTTAAGCAAATTTCTTCCCTGCTTCTCTCTCTCATTAAATCATGTGAATCACACCGAGGACCTATGAAGGTTCTGAAGCTAGGAAATGGTAACTGGCCATAACACGGACATCTCTGTCTAAAATTTAAAGCAGAGTGTTCTCATTTCTGTGTGATTACCTGTGCATTAGATTTCAATTTATGGTGCTAGGTATTGTATGATAATTAAACGTCAGTAGGTTATTAAAATATATTTATTGAAGTGTAACAACCATGCATTAGGCACATATCTTGTTATGATTGCTAAACCTCATTAAATGCCTGTTTTATAAGCTATGGGTATCTAATTTTCATTTAGAAGAAAGAGAGGAAGCATTTAAGCTAAACACATTGGTTTAAAGTGATTCCATTTCTACCTTTCCTAACATATGCACCCTGATGGTTATTACTCTGTCTTCTGCACATGAAATTTAAACATTTCAGGATACCACCTGGGTAATGGCTGTTTCTGTGTCACTGCATTCCTCTCTACTCTGACTCTAAGGCAAGGGAAATTTATGGAGACAACCCAGTGTTGGGTATATAATCTACCCCCCAGGCCCCATGTTCCCTACATAATAACCTTTGGAATCCTGATTTTCTTGGGAAAAAAAATCAGTTAGATTCAATTTGGTTTCATTGTCACTTATAAACTTTCTTAGATACAGGCTCTGAAAAAGGGTCATTTTTATTGAATGACAAAAAACAATCACGTTGCATAAATATCTGCTAAACTCAAAGACTTCTTTAAGACTCTCATAAAACAAAATAGGAAAATAAACACATTGATGAGCCTTAGAATTAGGGTCGAATGAGTTCCCAGAACTTAACCAACTTGAACAATGTTTATGTCATTTAAACACCTCTGCCCAGGATGCCTTCTTACCTGCCTCCAGGTGTTCCCTGCATCTGAAGACACAAACATGCTGATGTCGCTGTCTGATAATTCAGAACCAATATTACCTACAGAAAGCACATCACCATTAGTGGGAGGAGATTTTTGCAAAAGCTAACAATGGCTAAACTGGCAATCTATGCTGCCCTGAGATGGGCTGAGACTGTAAATATTATATACGAGCAGGGTTTTTCAGTATAGTTGCTTCAGTCAATAGTTGAGGCGACTTGCAAGATATTTTTGCTTGCTTGTTAAGTTCCCAGCACAGATATCTAGCTTCTTAAAATAAATAAAATTTCCAACAGCAAGCCAACCAGGCAAGCTTACCTGAAGCCACTATGATGCTGGGAGCTGTGTCTCGGCTGGCAATTATCCCTGACGTGTAGGGATTCTCGGAGACCTTAAGGTGGAGGTGTAGTGAGCAATAGGGCTGAGAAGAGGAGAAATGAAGGTCATAAAAGCTTATAATCGCAATGGTCATTTAAAGTCCAGATTCAGAGGATCCAGTCATTCACCCAACCATCCCATCTAGCTATCCATCCATGAACTCATCTTCCATTCAGCAGATAACTGGTGTCTGCTAAGTCTAAGACAGGTACCAAATTGGGGGAGGAGGGAGTATCTTCATTTTGAGTCTGATCTATTGCCTTGATTGCCATATGGTCATTCAACAAGTATTTTAGTACTCTATGTGTAAAACAGGGTTATGAAAGACTTACATTGACTAAAATTTGGTCTCTGCTGTCATGAAGTATTTAAGATTTTTCTACTGAATATCATAAAAAGAGACTATTGTAACAGCCATAAGGTCAGTAAAGATGAAATATGAAGTTCTACAGGCTGACATGACTATGTCCAACTTTGGATCAGGGAAGGCTTCAAGGAGAAAATGGTGCCTGAGGCAAAGTCCAACTGCCTGTGAGATGTTCAGGAAGATAAATAATATTTCAGGCCTGAGTGATAGCAACAACAAAGGAAAGAAGCAGAAGAGTTTAGACATGTAAGACTGAGGAGGAAAAATGGGATATAAAGTCAGAAAAAAAGTTTTGGTCAGGCTGGGAGGGCTCTGAAGAAGTCAGCAGGCACCTCTTGGCCACTGTCCATTGGAGACCTTGGGCTCAATTGTACAGAAGAAGCTGTATGGCATGTGAAACTCTCTTAACATCTACCAGGCAATCAACACAGTATCCATGTCAGGGTATTATCAGAATCAGTATTATTCAGGATAAAAGGCAAGCTTGTAGACAAAATGCACTAGTAATAACAATTTAAATGAAAATTTAAGGGACTTGTTATCTGTGTGCAAAAATCTCGATCAAATTCTCTGATTAAGATATCAACAGTTTTCAAACACAGGATAATAAATCTTATATGAATTTCATTTAAGATAGTTCTGGTACTGAGTTGTCAAAAACTATAAGTTTGTGTCTGAACCCACATCTCTTTTCATCTCTCAAAAAGATTATTTTCTAATCTTATCAGCTTGAGTTTTTGGAATCACCAATGTATCTCTGTTATTACTTTCATTCTGTTCTGTAGGTCTCAGCCGGCAGATATTCAGAGAGCTACAGAGATACAATGATTAAATTTATATGGGATAGAGTAAATGACAAACTAAAAATGAAGCTCAGGAATAAGAGCAGCCAAAATACTGGTGAAATGAAACAGTAGATTGCAACAGGGCCCTTCCCCACTGCCAACGTAGAGAGTAAACTCTCAAGGGATAATGAGAGTAATAAATGATGGGTTTTGCCTGAAAATTTCATGGAAAGCTTTCCAAAAAGGAATTTTTACTTATAACGTTTCATAAAAGTAGGGAAGACTGCTACTATAAAAGACTCAGTTGGACCTAAATGCTTGGCTTCCTTTTGCCCAAGAGGAAGACGGGAATGGGCACTGTTATGTTTGTGGGGGTTCTAGGACAGTGCTGTTCTACGGACAGACACTAAGGCAGGAGAAAGTGGAGATGTCAAGCCATTTCTCCGTGAAAGTTTTCCTGACAGCTGCAGCCTATCAGAATCTCCCCTTCTCTGATTTATCTGAACATGTGCAATCTCATATTACCTATTTGAGGTATGAATACTTTTATCTCCCTAAGAGATAAGCTCTATAATTAAAGAGAAAACATCAAGTACTAATATGAATTACCTGTGGAACCCAGCATCAAATCTAAAAAAGACAGCCAATAAACGCTTGAAATATCAAGCAATGCTTTATGCAGGACCTGAAAGACCTTTGTTGACTATTTTACTCAGAACAGTGCTAGAGATAAGTTGGGCTAATTTATAAATCACATAATCAGATTAATGTTGAGTATTTCCATGGTATTCCAAGAAGTACATAACTCCTAGAGGATTACCCTGTCACATGGGCTTCCTGGAGGGCCTTTTGTAACACAACAGAGCAGAATATCCTCAGCTAAGGGAGCTCCCAGTTTGCAATCTTGAGCCAGATGCTTGCCACATACTTCACCACTTAACAGTTTAGAAGATTGTGAAGCTCAGTTGCCACCTGACCCGATCAAGGATTATTCGATATAGGGTGCTTGCCATTACAAAGGAAAGACGGTATTTTCAATTGGCCATCTCAGCACTGCTCTGTGGCTATGGCTTTCAGGGGCCCGAGATAAATTAATCTGAGAAAAAATATACCAATTCAGGCCATAGCAAAAACATTAGAAGTGCTCTTTTTGGTGCACTTTTTTCCTGCACTCTCACATTTGCAGTACTGGATTGCCCCCAGCTGGTATGAGGAGAATATTCCCTGACTTTTTTTTTTTTTCCTTCCATTTTTTTCAAGGCAGATAGCCTACATCAACGCTCAAAGAAAAACAATGTTAAGTGATTCATCTTTACTTTTTTGAGTTAAACTTTTGTACTTGACCAGTTTTGGAGATCTGTCAAAATAAAGTCACCAAAAATTATAATGGCTATCAAGTCACTGCAAATTCCTGTGGCAAACCACTGCTGACAAGGCTCTCTAATTGTTATACATACATTGCCCAGGCAGGGGGCACTCCACCTACCTCTCCTTTCCTTCCTTCTCTCCAGCCTTCTTGCCCTCTTTTCTCCCATTACCAACCATGTCATAAACATCTGAGTATCTTTCAAGAGTTATCTCCAATTTAGGAGAGTCAAAGTACAGCTTGTGGCAAAGGCATCTATGTCCCTTATCTTTCCACATTGAGAAAATGCAGAACTGTCCACGGAAACCACCAGGACCCAGCAGCTGACTTACAGAGAATGGAGGGAGCAGCATGCGTGTTTGGCACCTGCTCTTTGTGTCCTTGCTCAAACCCAGTCACGGGGCATGGCACATCATCAACTCTTCAATATCAGGAGAAACTAGATCTTTGTCTTTAATCTTTTCACCATCAGGTTTTGAGTTTGAGGATCTGAGGCAAATTAAGGACTGTATCCCAAGAAAAAAAAATACATAAAGGCAAATGCACACTGAGTTCTGTGTTCAATTTCAGGGAGTGCGCAGACTTCCTGAAGCCCAGCATGGATCTCTAGGTCCTAATTACCTTTCTCTTGCCTTATTCTTTTCTTTCTCATATTTAACCAGCAAAATCCTTTGGCCATTGCTAGTGCTCACTAAATGTCTGTTGGATTTAACTGATCCATTCATTAACTAGCTACTGCTTTCTTAGCACTGTGGATGGCCAACAGAGAATTGCTAAATGACAGGGGATGTGCCTCCCAACATGAATTAAACATAAAATAAATTAAAAAATAAACAACAACAAATTGTTAGATTATTTGAGAATCAGCTTCTCATTCTACTTCTTCTTTTTCCCAACCTCTTGCTAACAGCCTTTAAGTCTTCATGGTCCCCTTATCCCTAGGGCTCCTAATCTGAGTATTACACTGAAAAGCCAAACCGAACCTTTTCTAAATAACAAGGCAGCAGCTAAAGTCTTAAATAGTATCCTCCAGAACCACTCCCTGCACACACACATTTGTGCTGTTTATGGCCCTGAACTGGAGCTAGAAATCCATTCGATTTATAGTAAAGAGTCAATGGCAAAGAAGAGAGAGGGCTCCAGGCCAACAGGATGGGTCTGGGGCATTCGGCTCCACTCCAATCCAACATACATGCAGAGTCACAGCCTGTGCAAGCGAGTGGAAAACACAGTCAGGAATCTCCTGGGGAAGCGGGCTGCCTAGCTCCAACAGAGAACCGTCAACTGAATCCACAAAGAAGTCATTGCCTCTCTCCACAAAACACTATATTTTCCCTAGAGACCCAAAGGATTTGACACAGGCTCAGCTCGCATCTTGCCTCTTGGGAGCCCAAACCAGAGGCTTTGGAGGCAGGTGGACCATGACCTGTAATACCCCATCTAAGTGTACAATGTACTCTTCTGAGAAAAGAAATCCTAGCTGAGCCCTCCAGGCAATCAGTCTAAAAGTCCTAAAAATACAGCCGCAAATTACTCTGGATGTCTTATTTCTCTAGAATACATTGTACCAGGGACATTCTGTTTGGGGCTGTAATTCTGAACCTGTTCCACAGTTGTAACAGCCCTGCTGGAAAAACTGCTTTCTAATCACTAGGCTGGGCTTTCAGTGACACTGTCCCTTTCCAAGTGCTCACAATCTAAAATCACGTTTTATCTCTTCTCTGCCACCAGCTCCCAAGCCTAAAGAAGGTTTTTAATGGTCCGGGTCTCCTGTAGCTCAAAGATTTACTTTCCTATTTTGTGTCTTTGGCAGATTTTTATAAGTGATTTCGGTCCCTGCCCCTCCCTCTGCCCCCCACTCCTTTTGCCATTTCCTTTCCTCAGCCTGTTTTGTAAAACTCAGATTGAAAGTACATCATACAGGGTTAATGAGGGAGGCAGGCCAAAAGACTCCTGGGTACCATACATCTAGAGCCCATTAATTCATCTTTCCTGGATCTTGATGAGCCTACTGATTTTGTTAACTGAAGGGTCAACCTGATCCTCTGAACTTCGGAAGTGGATATTATGACAGATCCCTCAGTGTGGCTGTCAGTGGCAAGGGAAAGTTTCCACTGAGGTCCAAAAGTGAAACTGAAACTACACCTGTCAATGGAGCATGGAATTTAGACAAACAATACTCATAACAACAACACATGCTGAACACGTGCCCCGCGGCATGAGTGATTCTTGAGCTGATTCTTTGCAGTGGCCAGAAAGACGGCCACAGTACCTCAACAGAGCTCACATTTTAGCAGGAGGAGAGAGACAAGACAGTCAACAAACATATGTGCTGATTTCAGAGAACTAGGAGGGTCATGGATAAAAAAGAATCAGGCTAATACCACCATAGAGGAAGCTTAAGAAAGTCTCTGAGATTAAGGTAATCAGGCAAGGATCTGAATGCCAAGTAAAAGCCAGACTAAGGAAATGACATTTTAAGAGAAATAATGGTGAATGCAGAGCCTAAGACATAAAGGAGAGCAGTGAGCTCAAGGAATGGAAAGAGGTGGTGTCCTCCCGTACAGTGGCTTATGTAAGGGAGGAGGGAGAGAGGCTGGAGAAGCAGGTTGAAGACGGACCATATGAGACCTCGAAGGCCACAGTATAGTACCGGAATTTTTTTCTACCTTAGTAAGAAAGTCATTAGAAGCTTTAAGTAAAGGAGGGATAAAATCTGATTTTTTAAAGCTCAAGTTGATCTCATTTACATAAAATTTGAGAAAAGAGAAATCCAATCTACAGTAAGGAAGGCAGATTTGTGGTTGTCTACAGCCGGGGGTATAGAAACTGACTGCAAAGGGGTGCAAAGGAATTTTTGAGGGTGATGAAAATGTTCTATCTTGACCATGGTAGTGGTCACATAGGTATCTACATTTGTCAAGATTCGTCAAACTATACTCTTGAGTACTTTTTTGATATAGTTTTTCAGTTTTACCTCAGTAGAGTTGGATTACAAAAGAAAAGATCTCATTGGCTGCTGTCTAGAGAAGAGATTGCCGGGTAGAGACAAGAGGACCAGTTGGGAGTCTGTCACTGTAGGGCAGCGGGGAATGATGGTGGCTTGGAGTAGGACAGTCTCAGTGGAGATAGGTAAGCAAGCTGCTACTGCATTTATATTTTGGAGGCATGGCAGTAAGACTTTCTAAGCACCTGGGTGGCTCAGTTGGTTAAGCATCTGCCATGAGCTTGGGTCATGATCTCAGGGTCCCAAGATCCAGCCCCACATGGCGGGGGGTGTTCTTGCTCAGCAAGGAGTCTGCTTCTCCCTCTCCCTCCACCCCTCCCCTGGCTTATGCTTCTCTCTCATGCTCTCTCTATCTCAAACAAATAAAATCTTTAAACACAATAAGAAGCCTTCTTAAAACTGGGCTGGAGGTAAAGCAGGAAACACTTCACTAAGTGCTTTGTGTCTGAGGCATTTCTACTGACCCATTTATGATGCCAGAGTGATCACAGGCAAGCCTGTTTGGGTGCTATGGTTAATTCTCTCTCATGGGCATTTAATCTCCAAGTGCATGGTGAGATGGAGAACCACACTGAAGCACTGGTGCATCTCATGCTTCTTTGGCTAAATACCATGATGCCTTAACTTGGAATAGCTAAACTAGGAAGGTCGCTCTGTTTTTTAAAATGCTACTGAACAATGCCTTGTATAGAGTAGGTATTCAATAAATAACTGTTACATTTACTTGCTCTGTCACTGGCTTTGTGCACTTACTATTACAACTGGCTTTTTTTCCCCTGGTACATTACCAGTAATAAGGATGGAAGCTGAGTGGGAGGCTGAATTTTAGACTGCTTCCCTGATACACAGTGACAACTGTGATATCCTTTGCAACTAATAAGGTCAAGCCATGGCTGCTGGCATCTTCTCGAGTAAGAGGGTGACCTGCCTACAGCTGTGTGAGATGAACCTGCAAAGTGACTGTTCAGACTTCATGGGACAAAGCAAGCTGCGTGTGGATAACATCAACTTTGGAATTGTATGAAGACTGTGAACGCTGATACGTATTCGTGTGTGTGTGTCCACAACCAAACCCTTCAAACTAAAACTAAGACATCTCCCCTCAAGGTTTACATACAGATCTCTCCTTTAGATAAACTGTTTCACAGAAATTAGCACTTGGGTATACTTTGTTTTGCAATTAATCTCTTCCTCCCCTCCTTCTGTGTTCACTCAGTATCTATTCACACATCAAGCTTGGGGCAGCACCAGAGCTACTATGAGGAGTGAGATGTGGCCCTATTATCTCTCATTTATTAATCTAGTCTCTTTCAAGAGGACTGAAAACTCCTTGAAGGCAAGACTCAACTCTGATCCCCTTCCTGGACACCTTCATATAATAAAAGAAGACCATACTTCAAAGCAATGGTCAGTAAGATTTTCTTTTTTTAAGGGCCAGGTAATAAATACTATAGGCTTTATGGACCATACATTCCTTGCCATGTCTATTCAGTTCTGCCATGTGGGGCAAAAGCAGCCACAGTCCATATATAAACAAGCATGTTTATATGTTTGTTTATAACATGTTTACCATGTTCCAGTAAAACTGTATTTAGAAAAACAAGTGGTAGGCCATATTTGCCTCCCAGGTCATATGGTTTACCAACCCCAGCTATACAGAATGAGACACAGATGAACAGAACGTATTATAAAGAGTATATATGAGGGTTTGGATTAGTTCTTATCCTTGTTTGAGGCATAAACGCCTCTGAAAATATGATTAAACACCTTTGCTGGAAAACACATCTACAAAATTTACATTTGCTTTCAGTTCATCAATTCTACAGCTGAATTTATGTATCAGTGGATATATAACAAGTCATTCATGGGAAAGTAAGGGTGTATATCCCCAACATAGATGGAAACTATCACATTCTCCCTTAAACTATAACTTGAGGTCCTCAACAGAACTTGGCTGCAAACTCAGAATCCTTGATGTGATGCCTTCCTTAACCCCCTCATGCCCTCTTATCTTTCCAGTACCTCACAAAAGGCAGCATAGTGACTCTTGCACACACTCTGCCTTCATGCTCAGCTCTGTCCCCTTTTGTTCACCAGTTAAACAACAAGCCTTGGAACCACCTTCATCTGCTTGTTTAGTATCCACTTTCGCCCTCCAGTGTGTGCAACATTCTTCTCCAAGGTGAAAACTCACCAGTAAGCAGTGCACAGGGTCCCCCCTTAGATCCGTGTCCGGCGCCTGCAGCAAACGCCAGTCTCGGCCTTTGTTATATGTGATGAAAGTCTTCACTTGGTTGTCAATCTTCTTGTTAGCCAAGAACATTCCCTTTATCCCTGCTACCTGGGAAAAATTGACATGGCTGAAAAATACATCAATTTGAGATAGGATACATTTGTTTACTTAAAAAATAAGCATACTGTCAAATTCAGCTGTAAGAACTTGTCTTAGCGGAAAGAGAGGGTGAGGCTGGGGGAAGAGGGGTAATGCTGAAGTATAATGACTCCCTGAACTGTGGGACACAAAAGCAATAGATCTATGCCCCTTACAATATGGCAGTTGTATTCTAAGTTTGATGGAAGCTTCCTACTTCGTCTAAGGTAGGTTTGTGATAGTTTGCAGTTGCCTGGAGTTAATAATCTGGTGCTTTCAGTTCTGCTGCCTGGCAAATGATGCATAAACAAGGCTACTTTAATTTTATGTTAGGCATAGCACCCATGGACTTAAATACTTTATTTTCTTTAATCTTTGTAACAATTCTCCTAAGTATGACTTATTTTTTTTTTTTTTACATATGAAGAAACTGAGGCTCATCCAGGTAAAGTGACTTCTCCAAGGTCATGCTACCTAAGGTCACACAGAGTAAGTGGCAGACCTGGAATTTTAACCCAGAGCTGATGGCTTCATAGACTATGCTCTTAATAACTATCTAAATCGTTGAGCTATTTACAGCCTTGGGCAATTGAGAAAGGTCAGTTTAAAGCTCATGATCCAATTGCTATTGCTTTTTCTCCTCTTTTTCTTCTGTAAAAAGATGGCTCTATTAAGCCATGGAAATACACTGAACAAGAGAACAGCTTTTAAAGGTAAGAAGCAGTGGTTTCCCTAAATTGTCAAATCATTCCCTCTTCCATTCCTGTAACACTTGTTCGACGTTCCCACTGTCAAGAGTCCTTATTAATTACTTGGCTCTGACAATATGATTGCCTTCTCTCTTCCATACTTGAGGAAAGAGGTAAAATTGGTAACTTGACAAAACCGTGTGATAACAAATCGTTAGTTGTGTACCATATTTTTCAAGAATCTTTGAATGTATTAAATACTTCATACCTATTTTACTCTACATGGAATTATGACAGCCCAGAAAGACTGGGGGCCAGGGAAAGAAGGATTTGAATACATGCAACAGTGTAGTACAGGCCATCTCATTCAATTCTTAGCAACCATGAGATAGTTACCAGCTGCCACATTTAAGGATAAGGAAACAGGTGAACTTAGAATGAGTGGCTTTGTAGAGCACAGATTGGGAGTAAGTGGATAAGCTAACAAGTATATTTGAACCCACTTATCTCAGCGCTTTAGAGGAGAATATGAAAGTTTTTAAGCAAAAGGATGAAAAAATAGCATGACTCAATGCCATTCACCCAGCACTATGCCCAGGGCCTCTGGCATTCACTACAAACCTGCCTGACAGCTACAGCCCAGATTCTATGAATGAAGAAACTGAGGTGTAGACAAAATTTAATTGCTTATGATAGAGAGAGTTGGGGTTCACATTCAAATCTGTCTGATTTCCAGTGTTCTTTTAACAAACACAGCTCTGAATTTCTCAACTCAGAGGTTGCGTTTCGATCAACAGAATATGTACATTTTACCTTGGCTTTTGACACAGTCAAACCTCATTAGTTTGTACCTGCTGATCTGGCATATGGGATAATTTAGAGTTGGGCCAACTTTGCATTCCTTTGGAATGACAAGTTTGTTAAGCAAATAAATGGTATAAACGAGTAGCTGGGAGGAATACTTTAAACTACTTAGGAAAACAAGCCTCTTTCTGGGCCATCGACAGCAAGCCGACAGTTTCTTATGCATTGTTGATCCTCGACAAATGTGGAAGACATAAATTCCAGGAGCACTGTACCTCCCAAGGATGGAACGATAATTAGGAATAGTATTTACTTATTCACTATACCAGCTCCATAAGGACTGCTCACCAGGGAACCCCATATTGCTTTTAAATATGTTCCAGAGGCTGTTACATATTTAAATATGATTAAACTGCCAGTTCTTTAAAAACGAAATTTCATAAATCATAATTTTCACAAAGTCATACTCATTTTTCCCTCTGCAGCATACTCGTCCATGAGAAACAACGCTGTCTTAACCATTCAACACTCTAGGTTACAATAAGTACAGAAATAATGAAATTATTACCTATTCCACTAGTTCTGTTGCCCATTTTCCTTCCTGCCCTCTCCCTCTTTTGGCAAGTGTGTCAGAGCAGGGTTATACGTGTTTAGGAGCTGGTTCATTTGATTTGCAGAAGCTGTGACTTTACTGGCCCCGGCTGCTTGGCATTATCAAATGCCACTTGAGCATAGAGCTGCGCTTTGTAATTCATCTTTGGCAGCTTGGCCTTCAGGTTTATCTTGGGGAATAAAAACTTGCCAAAGCTGAGGAGGCAGTGTGTGACAATAGGGGATGAGCTGGCATGGGTCTGCTTATTTTCCTTTTGCGGCCAAGGCACTTTATCTGTGAAAATACCATTTGTGGTGGCTTTTTATTTTTCTTGCTTTTTTTGGTCTGGTCTGCAAAGATGGTCACCCCTGCTCCTAAGTTTTCTGTGCCATCAGCGGCTCCTTCTGCTTCAGGCCTGAGAAGCCCATCTTTGTGTCATGGTGCACCTCTATGCACAAGGCACTTCCTTCAAGGGTTTTTTTTTTTTTTTTTTTTTTTTTGTGAGGTCTCACCTGATATGTCTTGAAACTTCTAGCTTCTTACTTTGTATGTAACTTTGGAAATCAAGGAGCAGCATCAGTGCCCCATATGTGGAATGTGTGTGCACATGTATGTGTATACATAGGTATAAGGTTTGGGGTTCCACTGAGGATGGGGGACGTTTATGTTGCCAGATAACCTCCCTCAGTATTCACTCTGTGTGCATATTTGTGTGGAATGGAGCGGGGGCTAAGAGATGGCACAGGACTGGAAAAAGTAATAGACCTCAGGAAGATGTTCACAGTGACACAGATTTTGAGGAAGGTACTTCTATGGGAATAACACATCTTACTGTTGCGAATTTGTCTTCTTTTGGGGGAAAGACCTGTTACCATTTTTACCTTTCTGAATTATTCAGAAAAATGCTGAGGGTGTTAAGAAGCCACTTATTTTTCTTTGCCTCTCATATGGGGAGTTTGATTCCAGAAGCCTCAAAGCTAATTAGTTATTATTTCTTATTCTCTAATCTCATATGAGCCAAAACACCATTTTGGTTAGATGTTAAACATGAAGTGTTACAGCTCAGAGCTCATCACAAAGCACATCAGTACACTTACTGTGCCCTAGGATGACAGCTTCAGAGTGTTGCCCTCTTCTCTTTTATTTTACTCCCCTTGTTCATCTCCCACTCCCTTGGATAACATGCTGATATGTCTCTACCTATTCACTTCCTTTTTTTTTATACGCATCTCTAGAGGGTGCTCCTCTGTCCCAATCTTTCTTTTGTATGCACCATGCAGAGGCTAAGCTGGGAAGACCCCTGAACAAGAGTTTCTGCTTGTTTCTGACTCTACTGCTAATTGAGAGATGATCCCTCTTACCCTCTTGATCTCAGACTTCAATTACAAAGTGTCAAAATTTGAAGATAATAAAAATTATGAATCAATAAGTATGGCAAGAAAGAGAATATATCTGTGACCATAATGTCTTTCGGTTCTGGACATAGGATATTTTTCTGTTCTAAAGAGAGGATTGCAGCCAGAAGAGACACATACTCAGAGGGAGAGGGGCCAGGGGTGCCTCTGCAGTCAAGGAGACCACTCCCTCTAAAACGTCCAGGCGTTATTTTCTTCCCTATTTCTTCCCTTGCATTCCTCTCCTAAAGAGAGAATAAACTTAAATGTAATTCGATGGTACATTCTACATCCTATAAGAAACATGCCCTGGAATGGAGAGCATTTTTCTTCTCTACCTCCTATGGTGGGATTGTAAGAGACAACTTCCCCCAAGAAATCAAGGTATAAGTACATCATCACAACTGTTGAGCTTTATCTTTTAAAGAGGGGGAACTCATGCAGAAGACATGATGTGTGTAACTAAACATGCACTGCTCATTGGTTATGTCTTCCATGATGCCCACTGTGCTTATTCATGTATGTGCACATTCTGTGCATTCCGAATTTTCCAGCCAAGTGGCTTCACTCCCAACACAACCCTTTCCACTTGGCTGGGGTGAACTGTCATTGTCCATTATGCCAAAGTGCTCTTCATCATCATTAATTAATATTCCCTTCCCAGAGGAGGGAGGATATTGTCCAAAGCTGTCAGACCCCCTCTCATCATCCACACCAGACAAAAACACTAGGAATCACACGTCTCAGACACACTCATCATTGTCTCCTTTGCTCTGGGTACCATCAGGCATACTGTCTTCTGTTACCCATCCCACGTGATGCCATTGGAGCATTTGTGCTATTCAAGAATGACAGAATTTTAGGATGCTTGTTTCTAGGCTTCTCTTATGAAAACACATCCACCAGACAAAATTGGGAGGCACAATGATAGCACTTCCTGAATTTAGCTGTAAATGCAGACTTAGGACTTGGGTCAGAAGGTGGTGAATAGGTCCAGAACTATCATTTGTGGATTATGTTTATGTTGGCTTTTTGCCAAGACTGTTTTCTTTTTCTTGTCTGGGTTCTTCTACTTTTAGGTAAAGTCTAATACTATTTATCCTGTCCTTCAATGGCCTTCAGTCTTAGGGCTATTACTGGACCACGATCAAATACAAGCCCAAATCTTTCCAGAGACACCAATAGTTTGCTGTTAAGAGTTTACATACTCTAGTATTTAGATACTAAATCTGCCACTTACTAGCTTTATAATCTTGAAAAAATGGTAGCATTTTCTGAGTCCATTCACTTATGTTTAAAGTGGAAGTAATTAGAGTCCCAGTATCATAAAGTTATTATAGGATTGAATGAGATAATTATGGAAGGCTCTTTACACAATGCCTAGCACATACTGGAACCCACAATTTTATATATTGTTATTATAATCTCTCATCAACAAAAATCACTATCCAGCATTTTTGCTCTTTGGCCACCTTTCTTGGCTCACATTTCTTAACTCTTTCAATGTGGTCCATGTTCAGTGACCAAATGACACTGAACAAATTACTCTGGTATTTCAATAATTAAACCATGTAAGATGGTCACTCAACACTTTGTCCCCAACATTCCCTATGTTATTATATACATACAAGTACTTTTAGGGCAGAGAGAGCCATATTTGTTGTAAAGTTCCAAAGTGTGATGTGAACAAAATTATTGAATTTAATGAGAAATGTGCTTCCTTTTGGATTTCCCTCAAAGACTCATCAACAATATATATCCTTGATACACAGACTCACACCATTATGTATTATATTACACAGTCTGCCTCTACCACAACAGCTTAAAGAACACACAGGAATGACAGGTAATTGGCATGCAGAAGCATACAAGCAAAGAACTCACACCACCCCCCTCAGTCACCCCTAAATATGAGCAGACGTGCATTCCATATATTCTGTCTTTGTCACTCCTACCTCATATGTTGCTCATCTATGCTCCTTATTAATTCATTTATGGATTTTCTTACTTTTCATTTATCTCTAAGCACTCATCATTCATTGCAATTCTACTGGGAAATTCATGCTGGATGGCTTTCAGCTTCCTGCTAACCAGAACAATCAGATTTAAGGAACATTTGTGCCAGGTTCCACGTCAGCCAATACTCTTTCTATCTAGGTAATCAGCAGATACGGCACCGCCGTTCTGATCACATCAATTTCAATTCAAGTTGCTGCGAACTGTCAGGCTAATAAAACCAAAGACTCTTCTTCCGGGGTCCTGGGATGCAGAACACCTTTACATAATGCAGTCACACCACTGCTTATAGAGATGATAATAAGAGCCAACAGTTTCCCTACAGATACTCAACTGCAAGAGAGACATAAAAGGAAAAACACAAGCATTAACCAAGGAATGATTTGCCATGTCCAGAAGTCACCCTTTTTCCTCTTCTCATTCCATACCTGTTAGCAATGTCTGAATTCAGAAAACCATTCATGGAAACAGGTGTATATAACAGAACATTGCAAAATCGTTCCTGTCCAAATATGTCATCTCTTTTATCATCAAGGGACTAATTAGAATGGTCTTTGTTTTGGCAGAAAACAAAGTTTATCTCCCAAAAAACTCTTCCACAATAACTTGAAAAGAGGGGAGGAGTTATTCTCAAAAGGAAAAATGCAACCTGAAAATCAGAAAATGTTTTTGGGAGAACAAGGACAGAGTCAAGGCCAAGGTAGCAAACCAGGTGATTGATCTGGGGCAGCTGCTTTGACTTATTAGACTCTTGAAGCAAGATATATCCATTCTAAGTGCTGGGATATGGCACAAAAACACATGGAATTTCAACAGAATGCTTAAAATTTAAATGTTTGTATGACATTTACAAATGAGGAAAGAAGCATGGCAATTTACACTTGTTTATAACAAGATGACTAGTTGGCATTAAACGATGTCCTATGGCCATGCTAAGTGCAATACAGGAAAAAACAGAGATCCAAAATATTGGAAGTGTGTTGGATATTTAAACAGTGTGGGTAGATTTTAAGACTATAAGAATAGAACATTATATTGGGGCTTAACTTCACTGGAATATAATATTAATTATGCTATCTATAATTTGTTGAGCATTGATGCATTTCTGGCACTGTTCATAATACATACGGTAAGAAGATTAACTTAAGTAATCCTCAGAAATTCTATCAAGTAGATACCATGTATAGCTCCATATTTTAAACAAGGAAACTGAGGCTTGGAAATTCTTGGCTTTGTCTCTAGAATACATACATCTGGTGTAGCAAGGATTTAAATCCAGGCAGCCTGACTCCAAAATTTATACTGTAAATCACAATTTTATCCAACATAAATTTGAAACTAAATCACCAGAATATGTAAATGTTTTCCAGAATACATGTTCAGTTTGAGGCTGAGATATATGATACTACTATATTTATCTAGAACCTGGACAGAAAAAGAGTGGAAAAACCTTGTGAATGTGTAAAAAAAGTTTGCAGTAGATTTTTCTAAATATATACATACAGACTATGTCTAATGCTAGTTTGGGCTTTGAATGGAGCATATAAGTTTGTTAATATAACTTTATATATACAAAGAAGTTTAGATACTAGAAGATAATCCCCAAGAGCTCCTAAAGGAGAAGGGGGGAGTTGATAACATTAAATGGAATTACAATGATAGGTTTAAATTATTAAATGAAATTGGTTCCTTTCTTCAATATAATTCCCTTGCTTCTAGTTATACAAACAACTTCCTGACTTTATGAACTTATAATCAACCAAAAGATAGCATCATTAGGACTGTACATATTTGAATCGGTGTTAGATGTTTTTTTCCAGATAGGATATAAGTAAATGAGTGCATTTCCCAAATTCTGAATACATTTTGTAATGGCTCATTATAACCCATTATAAATCCTTCAGAGTGCAAGATAAGACTGACAAATGGCTAAAATCCATCCTCAAACAGCAGCTTTCTTTCTCCCTAGCTGTGCTTTAAATGGCATTTGTTATGAAAGCTAACCGTTCTAACATAAATGATTTTATTTTGTATCCTGGTCATTTTGAGAAACAAAGGTCCATAGTTGTTTTAGGGAAGTTGGTTTTTTGTCTCTGCCTCCCCCCTTCCCATTTAGGAGAGAAAGACCTAACACTTGGCTCTCACTCACTGGCCATCTGAGGAGATGATAATTAATCAGTGAAAGTTATCAGGTTAGAAAGGTCCAATGGCTTAAGAAAATATTTATGTGAGAACATTAAGTGATAGACAAGTTAAATTCCCTAAAAAAAAAAAAAAAAGGTCCAATGGGAGCATCTTCTAGTGCAATGCAAAGATGTCTCCCTCATGCTCACTGGCCCTTTGCTCACACTATGACACCCTGTTTGCCCACTCTCTCCAGGTCCCGAGACATCATGGCCTGTGGACTTCATCAAAAAAGGATGCCTCCCAGAGGTGGTGTGTGGATTGTAACTTAACCAATAAAAATGTTCTACAAATCCTCGCCTCCCCCAAATGAAATGAGGCCACATAAAGAATTGGACTTAAAATGATGGAGGCAATGGCCAAAGGCAGGCCTTCACCTGCCAGCCCAGACATTGCAGTGGCTCAGGACCACACACACTTCGTGACATACCTCATAGAGGTCAATCATGATGTTGCCCTCTGGACCTCTGCTGCTCTGAACATTTTCCAAGGCCAGCGTGAAATAGACCCCACGGGTGTCTGAGATATAGAGGTTGTATGTGTCATTCTGGTTCCATTCTTGAACCGCTGCAAACACTTGATTCTCATCTGTGCTGATGACATGCATGTCCTGAGGACAAAGAGAAGTGAAAAGGATGATGAGATTCATACATTAACATGGCATATGTCCAAAGAGAGCAGAATCTTGTGAAGAATACCAGACTAGGCTCTTAAGGCACTGTCATGGAAGGTGAAAATTTTCCTTTTGCATATTTGTCAAATAATAATTAATAAGGAAAGTGTTAATCATATATTTCCTTTGTTATATGTAGGGTTAGGCAGTAAGATCATGAGAAAATAGGGCAGAGAGATGCTTGGTAGCTCACTTATAATTTAGTTACCTCATTAGCTAACTGAAGAATACTTTCAAGTGTGTATGACTTTGGGGAATCAGTCATCCTGATATACTTGCCAGGCACAAACATGGTACATGTTCAGAAAGCTTATGTGGGGCAGAAATGAGGAAAAGTTGGAGAAAGAGAGAGAGAAAACCAACAAGTCCTGCATCTCTCAGTGTGGTTCATGGGCCACCAATGTGGGCATCACCTGCAAGCTTGTCAGATACACAGAATCTCGGCCTCACTTATTGAATCAAAAATCTGCATTTAAATACAATCTTTGTGTGATTCATATGCACATTAAAGTTTCCAAACCATTCCCCCAGGCTCAGCACCTCCCAGAAGTCCTTGAGGAAAACACCTGAGAACCCCAAAGCACTAATCTTTCAGGTCAATAAGCGTTCAAGGACTTAGTGGTTTATCTAAACCTTTACTCTGAGAAGTTTAGCAGGAAACCTTAAGTGAGAGAGGGAAAAAGTAGCCTGCTTTCAGACTCTGGTAGTCCTGGAGATAAAAACAAAGCAAAGGTAACGTGGAGGCAGTGAGCAGGTGTGGGGGAGTGGAGGAGGCAGGGGATGAGTCCAAATCCTTTCTTCCCCATCAAAACTCCAGAGAAGTGGATGTCTGGCGGGGAGGATAACACAGACCAAGGCTTGTTGTCTTCTGTGCATATGCTTTGGCAGCCATCTACTGCCTTTGCTCAAGGCAGTAGACACTGGTATAACTTTCAAAAACCCGAAATCAAAACAAAACATACAACAGAATTACATGTAAACACAAAGAAAGAAGAGCAATAAGGAAAGATTCTTAGCCCATGTGTAGCTTAGTACTCAAATCTTCCCAGATGGATCATCCTCCACCCTTGAAAAGCTTCAAGAGATTTTTCAATCTTCTTTGGCAAGAATTTCAGTGCTAGAAAGTTCTACATAACTTCTAACCTAAATTTCTCATTGTAATACATGTCCATGTTCTCTCAACCAAACAATCAGCAATTCCGGTTGGAACCTGCTCTAAACACAGAAGAACAAGTCTTTTCCTCCTTTACCATGATCACAGTGAAATCCTATGATCCCAGAAGGAAGAAGTCTTTATCCAAAGAGTTTTATATTCCTCACCCCTACTTGGGTCTTATGTGCCATACTTTAGTGTTTGATAATGATTTTATAAAAAGAATACAGAGTGGGAGGCCAAAAATGAATCCTTCCCATTAATTCAACGTGGATCAATAATGTAAACTTATGTTTGGTATGGAAGTTGGCCATTGCTTCTATCAGCCAAATGTCTATTTCCATTTCTTCTAATAATGGTAGTTGATGTTCTTTGAAAAACACCCTTATGACTCTCAGACAAATTTCCTCCCTGTACTTAGTCTTTGCTACTTTTTTCTATCCTCAGCACTAGAAAAGCTTGTTGGCCTAGCATTCGGGATATTCAATATCCTTGACCACACTGGCTGGATCAGTGTTGGGTATGCAACATAAAGTCAAGAAGACGTAATTCTAGAATGATACCAGTATTATCAAAAAGTTAAAAAAAAAAAAAGTCTAGATCTGATGGAGACATATCTTGGAGGGGAGGCAGGGGAGGCAAGGGATGAAACCAGTCCTGAAGAAAATAGGCTCAAAAGGGAGATAGGCCACATTCTGTGAATGCTTTTGGGTCTTTGATTGTGGACAACTAAGAAGCCTGCCGCACCTGTAAACCTTTCAGTTAGAGAGAACAGTAGAACACAATGGTTAAAAGAATGGACCTTGAAGTCAAACTACCTCTGCAACATAGCTATGTGAACTAAACTCTGTGCCTCAGAATTTCTACCTGCAAAACGGATAGCAGTATGCCCTCCATGGAGTTGTGAGGATTAAATCACTTACTAGGTGTAAGTGATTAAGCGTTATAATAGTGCCTGGCACAGAGTATGTTCCATCCATGCTACTTATTTTCAGTTACATAAGCCCTTAAATCCCCTTTGTTGATTAAGCAAGAGTCATATGGCCTTTCTGTTCACTGCAAATGTTGGGGGACTGGCTAGTATACCTAATAAGAAATAGTTCATGCAAGTATTTTGCTTCTTTCTAACAGAGGGAATTAGCTATAGAAATTAGCCCAAGGGCCATTCAACAACTGAGGGCCAAACTTTCTATGGGTCCCCACTTCCTAAAGGACAAAGACCCAAATCCTTATTCTGGTATTTAAAATCCTCAAATAACTGCTTTCAATTCACATTCCCCCACCAGTAGGTTGCAGTATCTTCCCTGAATTCAAGTTAAAATATTTAAGCACAGATCTGGCCCCCATATTTAACCACAGATCATGGACAACATACCTATTGCCCACCTCTGTGCCTTTGGAATGAGTTTGTGCACTGGTGAACCTTTGAAGTCCAGGTCACCACAGATATCTTAATAAATGCTAGGGACAAGAGTGCATCAACTATATTATCCCAACTCATATAAATCTTTATTTTGTAGTTTTGGAACCAAAACACAGGGTTTCAAGGTCACTTAGAGAACTAGTTTAGTAACAATAACAGATTCAAATGGCCATTTCTAGATAAGGGCCAAGATCAGATCGCTCACTCCATATAATCCAATTACATTGTAAAGACTTAAAAAATGTTGGTCTCAGATATCTTAATTGAAAGATCTGACATATTTAAATGTCATCTTTCTTTCTTCTTCTTGTCTACATTCTTCTCCATCAGGAAAATGTGCTCTTTCTACACAGAGTGACACTTTATGTTGGCTATTTTTTACTAAGGCACAAAATTTTAAAATGAGAAGTGACCTTTGGAATCTTTTACTAGAGTGCTTTCCAAAATCTGTTCCATAGGACACCAGCATTGATGGATTCTAATAGACTTTTTTTTTTATGGATCCCTTTGTAAAAAGCTTTGATTAATGCTGAATTATATAGTTTTCTTGCTCACAGGACATCCTAGAGCTTTTGACACCAGTGACCTACCGATACTCTTGAAGGAAGGGACACAGAATGGAGTTTATTTTTTTCTTAAGCTTATTTGATCATAGAACCAAACTTTTGTGAGGCATCTCCAAGGAAATTATATTCAGAGTAATGTTTACTTTAATTTAAAAAATGTGAAAACCAAAACCAAAACAACAAACAGACAAAAAACAGAGAAAGAGAAATTGCTAAGCCAGTCTAAGGCTTCAAAGCAGGTTAGCGACAGATGCAGGGCTGGAATCTGGGCCTCCTGCTGTCAGCCTCTGCACCACCCACGCCCCTGTTCCCATCGATCCCCCATCACACAGACAACTAGATCCATACTGATAATAATATTACCTTACTTTTATACAGTATCTGTCCTCCAAAATGCTCAAAGCACTTTCATATGTATTGCCTCATTCATCTCCAAATAAGTTAAGGGAAGGAAACTGTCACCAGGACTCCCAGTCTGGGGGGGCCTCATGCTTTTAACAGCAGCAGTGGCATTAAAAGTCTCCCCATCCCCCTCTCTAGGCAGCAGTACCATATTATCATTATCTTTATTTATTCATTTATTTATTTATTTATTTATTTATTTATTTATTTATTTATTTATTTATTTATTTATTTTAACACAGCTCAAGGTAACCATGGTCTTTCAAGAGTTGATACAATGGCAGTGGATGATTACAGAAAATTTGAAGATGAAACTGTGGTTTGTTTTAATTCCTTTGGTGGGCATGAAGTTTTCCAGCTAAGGCAGTCCTGGCTTTGATAGAAGGCCATGGAAGTACAGGCACCTTTCTGGCAGATAACTCCACCCAAGCTGGGGCTATTCTTTGAAGGTGTAATGGCATTGTAATAAGGCATCTCATTGCCTTAAATAATAAACACCTGCTTGGATCACATAATACATTCATTTGCTCTACTGGCTCCTATTTTTCTGGGGACAAGCGAAATTAATCATTGCATTCTACCCTCATACCTGGGATGAGACTAGTAATGGAGGATGCTCATCTGGTATAGAAAGAGGAGGGGACAGACAGCTGATTCAGGCTCAAAGTACAACTTTTCCTTCCAGACTGGCTGGATGTTACTGAGGGCAAGTGTCGACAGTGATCTGTGTGATGGTTATGAACAAGCAATGCAAAGTATGTGTTTCCTAACACTCCAGTAACAGATCCAAAGATGTTTCTTTGGTTTTAAATGGCCATTTCCAGGGCTCCTTAGGTCCACGGGACTTTTTAATGGCCCTGCAGTATATCAAAATTTGTGTGTGTGTGTGTGTGGGGGGGGGGATCTGCTATCTTAATTAAGCTATTAATTTATTTCAAGAGAAGAAAAGTATAATACAAAGGAAAGGATGCCAGTTTAGGAGCTCAGGAGACTTGAGTGTTAGCCTCAGTTAGGTTATGAACAGCATTTGGTTTAGCTGGGACTTATTCCACACAAAGAGTATATTCCCAGGAGAGAGAGCACAAGAAGAGTGACTCAGATCTGCTGCTTCCTGATTGGGTCTCAATTCCCACACTCCTCTTGAGCAAGAGCATCTCCCTGCATTGACTTTAATTCTTGTTTTTAAAGGTATAAATCTTGCAAGCTAAACTACTGCATTTACTGATCAATCAAAGAAATAGCAATTTATTTCAGCACTCAAGGGGCGGGGCAAAATGGCTCTGTTGGATTTACTGAGAACGCATGATCATGTCCCTCATGGACTTTCCTAAAAGATTATCCAGGGTAATTTTAACAACACTCAAATTTAGCTTTACGTATGGACTTTACCCAATTATCATCTAAGGCACAACTCCAAAGTTGTAAGTGCTTGTCTTTTTGGAAAACATTTTAAACTGAATCAAGAGCAGGGAGCATTTAAATGTATACAACCATAGACATATAGTTCTGGGGAATTTCCACTGTCATTAATCTCTTAGTGGCTGAAAATAGTAACTTCGATCATGGATATCCTCCTTTGGAGTCAACAGTGCAATTTAATGTGTGTTACTATCTCGAATGAGCTGGCATCTCAGCCCACCTTACTACTGCTAGGCTTAGGGGCAGAGTGATGGCCAAGAAAGAGAACTCTGCCTGGCGAGGCCAGAGCAACTGGTGACCATTGGCTCTCCTGGAAGAGGAGACCGGTGAAGCCCTTGTTTTATATCTATCACATGATTTTCAGGCAGCTAGCTGGTGTTGGTCCAGGACAGCATACTATGAAGTTATGGATAAATACACAAGGTAAGGAGTCATGAACATTCAATCAAAAAAAAAAGTTCTCTATGTTCTTTGTCCAACCCAAAGGTTTCAAAGCTGAGCTACAGCTATATTTAAGCCTACACTGTCCCTCTCCTACAGCCATATATACCTCCCTTGTTCTAAGATAAGGCACAATATATTAACTATTTCAGACCACAAATACACAGCTTTGAGCTACCAAGTCAGTTTGACCTCCACTAGGTGGCGCTCCGTATTAACACAGTTCTTCAGTGTTTCTGGAAAGACAGTCCAGGGATGTCAGCAGTTGAGAGGGTCTTTAACTTTCGTCTGTCATTATTTTCAAAGGAGTAGGTCTTTGGGGAAGTCCAAAAAATTAGCTGTGCCTCAGAACTAAGTCAAAGAGTCTCATAAATCCTATTGAGAGAAAAGGCAAAAATTGGATGCCACATAGATGCACCACCTCTCAATAATTAACAATAAAATGAAAGAGAAATGTATTACACCTGTTTTACTGATATAATGTGTATCCAAAGCCTATTTTCTGCCTTGCTAGAATACCCATACCTTCTACTTGAAAATATTTACTACTGAAAAGTAAAAGCAAATCAGTTAATCTATTCAGATGCCTCTATAGCAAGAATTAGAGAGAGAGAGAGAGAGAGAGAGAGAGAGAGAGAGAGAAAAGCTGAAAAATAGTCATAGGAGATGAGAAGAGATAAATGATTATGAGAAACTGAAAGGGTCCTTGGGAAAGGGGTGCAGGCAAGAATATGGGAATTGGAGAAAATATGGAAATGAAGAAATCCATTTAGGTCATACCTTAGGCAAAGCATATTTGGGCAGCTTCATTTGGGCGAACGCATTCCTTCGGTAGGACACGTAGTAATGTGGCCGTCCTCCTGATGTCAGCTGGATCATAAACACAAAAGTAAGAGGAGCTACTCTAACAGTTACAGGCCATAGAAAAAACAGCCGTGAATGGCAGGGGCTAGCTGCCAACCCAACAGTGTGAATGACTATTGTGGACAAGTGTAAAGAACTAGAGTTCCATTCAAAAACAACTCATACAGTGTATGTGAGTTGGTCTGAGGCCCAAGCTAAACCCATAACATGAAAATATAATTCTTCAGTTTGCACTGTGGCTCAGAAGCCAGGCAATATTTTCAGTGTCTTTTCTTTTTCTTCTTCTTTTTTAATGCCTCAGAGGATATTAACTTAATGTCCATCAGAAGTCCCTAGCTGTCTAGCCCAAGACTATGGACGTACAACCAGGTCCCCATGCCATATAGGAAGGAAATGGCCCAGAGCTGGAGCCTCTCATCTCTGAACATTGAATGCCATTTGATGCTGTCACACTAATGACCATAAGTATGTCTCAGACATGGCACTGCTGCTGACACATTAGATGGAAAGCCAGCCAGGATCATGGTCCACAATCATTATAAGAGCTCTATCTCCCAGAGGAGAGCTGTGAGCCACCTCCTCCAAGTCTGCCCAGCACATATAGCCCAACAAACCCCGTGGGTGCCAGGGAGGGCAAGAAGGAGTGTGGTCTCCATCTCAACATGAGCACTGTTTAGTGCAGGTAGTGTCAAGGGCTGCACTGCCAACCTCTCCTCTTTGTAGCCACTCTTTTTTTCCAGCTTCATTGAGATATTATTCACATATATTTAAGTTTTAAGATGTACATATGATTTGATACACATACATACTGCAAAGTGCTTATCACCATAAACTTAGTTAACACCTCTTTCTCCTCATTTAATATGATATTTTGTGCATGGTGATAACATTTAAAATCTAACATCTTAACAACTGTCAAATATATAATACAGTGCTGTTAATTATAGTCACTATGCTTTACATCGGATCCCCAGAAGTTATTCATCTAATAGCTAGAAATTTGTCTCCTTTGCCCACATCTCTCCACTTCCCAATCCCTATCTACTATCTATTTCTATGAGATGGTGTAGCTATTCTTAATCCATGTAAGTATCTGGAGTTAGAGTATCAGCCAGAGTTCACATACTTAGATTGTGTCAATAAATGTTCTGGGCGAATGTCCATCAGATTCATAAAAAGGTGACCAGACGTTATCATATTCACCGATATGGGGTCAGATAACCTCCTAGTCTCTGTGATGGGTTACAGGACCACAGTCACAGTGGCATGGGTAGAAAATATATGACACTCTCATTGCAAAATTGATTCCCATTTGTAAGTCATATATGTGGATTATAAACCATTATTAGAAAACAGAAAAGGTTCCTGGGAGAAACAGTGATAGAAAAATGAATTATAGATAGAAGCAAAACGTGCTTCCATTTTAATGTCACTTGATAATTGGGTGCTGAAGTTATCAGAGTACTCATTATTCATTTCCCTAAAGAAAATTGAAATATGTGTGTCTATGGGTCTGTATAATCATTTGTGAAACATTTTAAGAGAACATAAGCTGACGTTGGGCATTTTGAACATCTGCTTCCTCAAAACATGAGACTGAATATTCTGAATTATGATTTCTTGTCCAAATAAATATAATAATGTTTAGAATATGTCTCAATCATATTGAAATTGTGTGTGTATATATAGTACACATGTGTATAAATATATAGAAAGTAAATATATATATGAATATACAAACTATATAAACTATTTAGCAATTGTACTTTTGTTACTCTTATTATGGGAAGCAATAAGTGAAGTCTGTCCAAACCTGACTAATAACTGAAGCATTATCCAAACCTAGAATTTTCCTTAAATGCTGAAAAGAAGCAAAGCATTCTTGCTCCCTGTCTCTTCTAACCACTCAACCTCAAAAGGTTTCCCACTCTCTTCAGGGGTGAAAAAGCCACCTGAGTACATCTCATCTCCTCTATTTCTTATCCTAATCACAGTCAGAGCATGACAATAATGGCTGATTACTCTCCACCTCGCCTCTGCCTCCCACCACCTCCAGCTACCCCACAGCTTCCTGTTCCCATCTATTTCTCTATTTTTAAGGTGAGTATTGGGGAACAGGCTGATTGGCTGACTATTCTGATAGGAAGAGACTGATGCATCCGCTCAGTCCCATGAAGGCAGAGGAGGGGGTGAACAGAAGTGTGCATCATTCTGAGACAACCTCCGGACCATTCGCAGTGTTTCCATGACCCCGTGTTGATAAAGTCCTCCAGACGTTGCCCAAAGGAGCTAATTAGTATTCCGTGAGCATAGAAGCTTTGACACTCAGTAATGTTCCTTTTGTCAAAGAGATGATTTTTTTCCTCCTTTTTTTTTTTTTTTTTTACTCGTAAGGGTAGTGTAAGCAGGCAAAGGAGGCTGCATTAGGGACAGAAGCGGGAAAGAGATATGTCTGAGACAATCAGCAGAAGTGGATCTTTCATACCTGAACAAACACGTAATCATCCTGGACAATCAAAGAGTCTGGGTCAATGTAGCCTGGGAAAGGCTTATTTCTGTTGGCCTCTGTGCAGTTCTGCATTCGGCAAGTTAGGTACTGTGAATCTGAAAAAAAAAAAAGGGTAGGGGGGATGTATACACCCAGTATTGGACTCGGAGTGGACATTTTCCATTTCCCTTGTCATCTCCAAGTCTTTAAACCAACCCCACATTCTTTAAATGCATTATTCTTACCATTATTATTGTTAAAAGTAGTGTCATTATTATTTTACTCACTTTCTAGCAACACCATCACCACCATGCCCCAGTGCCTCCACCAAATCTTGCCATCCTGGAATACTAAATTCTCATTAATTAATTCTCCCCTCCCAAACCTAAATGAAAACATTTTTAAAAACTGGCATTAATACTTGTGATTTTTGTGATTATTATTTTGCATTTGTAGGCTCTTCTTCCACACTCTGACCTTTGACCAACAGGCAGGAAAACATGGACATACATGCAATCACCCAGTCATCTCATGAAAGAAATGCACTGTTATAAACAGGAAGATTCCATATAAGATAAAGGCTTTTCTTCTACTAATAATTGCAAGCGAGACAGAATAGAGAGGAGATTCCTGACCCCAAAACTCTGTTCTCATTTTACAGATGAGTAGACTAAGACCCTGAATGCCACCTGAGACTCAACAGCAGATGGTAAGCTATCAGTTATAATAACTCTTATGTAGATTTGATATCTATTGGTGGAAGTACATTGTATCAGGGAGGCTACCTTGGTTTTTCGACTACAACTATTCTGACCTGTCTAGCTGTCACTTCCTTACTTAAAACTCCTTTTGCCTCATTGCATTTAAAATAACTTCAAACCCTACAGGACCACCACTCCAATTTCTCCACATGCCAATCTCTTCTTCTATCTGTGATTCTTCTAATCTGGCCTCCTCTATGTTTGGAAATGGTGCCAGACTTCCTACTACGTAAGAGACTTTATTTGTACTCCCTCTGTCTGAAATGCTTGTCTCCAGGTTGCTCACAAAGAAGGTTCTAGATTTCAGCCCACTATTACTTTTGAGGGTCTTCCATGATTAGTATTTTATTAATTACTACCACATACCATTTTATTAATTCCCTTCATGGAATTTATTACAATATAAAATTATCTCCTCCTTATTTATTTCTGTCTTTCTCCATTAGAATATAATCTCCTTGAAGACAGTAATGGGTCAATAAGTAAATACTCATTGGATTGTGCCTCTTGATTGCAATACATATTTTGAATGAAAAATAAAGCTGTTTTACTCTTTTTCTTTTTTTGATGCTGAATGAATGGATGAGTTTGATTTTAGAACATCACGATATATACAGAAATCCACTCTTCCAAATTAAAGGAAATCAGGAGATGAAGACTTACATGAAATGGGGTAGGCAATAGTATTGCATTGGATACAAGGATTCACAAATGACTTCCCTTGGTGAAATTTCCCAGACCATCTTTACCTAAGGAACTTGGGTAAACCTACATTCTAGAAGGAGGACCACTAGGGAGCAGTATGCACATTTGCTCCATCTGACCAATGACTGCTGTAATTGCTGATAAGGTCTTAGGAGACTAGAGGAGAGTTTTACCTACAATATTTCTTCATCCCACTGCCATCTGTGGGGATGGGATGGCTCTGAAATACTTTAAGATGTCTAGTCCCAGTGAAACCATCTCCAGAGGTAAACTAAAGAAGAGCCATGTACTTACTCTTACTTCTGTTTTCAAACATTCTTATAGTTTTATTTTTGGGCATAACTCAAGATCTTTCTCCTTGAAGACAACTTCTGTGATTCAGTCCTTCCCTATCACTACAGCACACAAAATCATTACCTCACAATTTCACACTCCATCAGATCCTTCTACAACTTTTAATAGACTTCCATTTTTCTAAAGGTAGCTTGGGGTCACAGAAACAATGGACACTGGCAGCTGGGAGACCTTGGCTTGAGTTCTGGGTTGGTCACTTACTAGCTGTATAGTTCAAAAGAAATAATCTCATCTTCCTGTCTTGCCACCCTCCTCCATTAAATGGAGATGCCAGTTAATGTCAACTTTCTTATAGTTTGGCTCTAAGAATTAACTGAATTAATGTATATGCTAAATGTTCTGGAACTCAAATATGTACAAATATTAGTTGTTATCAATAGTGGTAATATTCCTATTCCTTTCACAATGATTAGATCAGTTTGTGGGCCATAGTAGGTTCTTTAAAAGGCTAGTTAAATTGGATTTGAGTACTCCAGTTATGTTTCTGTATCAGTTATGTTTCATTGGTGACCTGCCCAATATCCATTCCTCCCAGCCTCTTTGATGGAAAAGCCAGTACTGGATTTGTTGGCCTGTCCTTCCTTCTGTGTGACTGGCAAGTGCTTATATGCAAAGATTAATCCTTTTAGGTCTACACCCATTCAAGGTCTTCCAACTGCCCTTGCCACTGGTTATTTCAGGGAAGGGCATTAAAATCTTGTAGTAAATAAGAGGGGGAAGGAGGTCTTTTAAGGGATTAAAGGGGAGGGACCAAGAGCTGCAGGAGAAGAATCTCTTCTGCCTCGCTAGACACTGCACCCAATGTGATGCTAAGGACTGCTCTAGCCTTCTTTTTATATAGAGGAGCCAATCTTATAGTTGAGCTTACATAATGAGATTGCAAAGAGATGAAAAGGACCTATTTCCTGATGACACTGAGTTACTGATTGTACTGAGCCCAGAGCTGCTCTTTCTCTGTGCGTTTTATGTGAGATAATGAATAAAAACAACAATTAACCAAACTGAATCAAAGGTTCTTGATTAAGAGGTCTTGGTCTTCAAATTACAAATACAACTTCCAATCAGGATTTCTTAGACTGCCACCTAATGAAGACTTCCTAATAAATACACAGTGCTTATTTTATTTGTAATGGAGTCTAAGAGTTTCTTTCTTAAGACTTTAACCTCCTTTTCAAAGGTTCTTGAAGAACCATAAGGTGGAAAATATAAAGATCCACTTTATATAACTCAACTATTCAGAAATTATGAATCTAAGGGATTTGGGAAGACAATAAAAGAATGGGGAAACTAACATTTGTTGAGCATATTTGTACCAGGTACTCTGAAGCATGTTCACCTTTCTTTCATACATTTAATCTTCACAGTACATAAATATAATATATTGACTAATTTTTTAGATAAAGAGAATGAAGCTTAAATGGATTATGATTTATAGAAATGGTATTATGGATTTCAAACTTGGTTGGCCCCAAGGCTTTTATTTCTACTACTCTATGTTGTGTGAAAAATGTCAGTGAGTTAGGGTCAATTTTTATTAATTATATTTTGTCTTTGATCTAATAAGTATCAATGCATATACCTAGATACCAAAAAAAAAAAAAAAAAAGATCAGCGAATTTATATTTTTTTGTGGAGTAATTTGGGAATATGGATCAAGATCCTTGAAAATGGTATCTTTTGACCTCATGTTCATTTCTGAAAATTCTACCCAAGGAAAAAAGATTTAGCTATTTCAATATTCATTAGTGTTATTTATAATAAAGAAATAAAAGCAAATGGCCAAAAGTGGAGGAATGATTTTTGAAAACTTCAGAACATGCACAGTTTGCTATTAAAGAGCACACTGGTATTTAGGGAAGTGCTTAATATATTTCACATAGTAAAAATAGGTTAATAATTAATATTGTATCAGTGTTAATTTCTTAGTTTTAAAAAACAGATTTTAATTGTTCAAGATGTAAACATTAGGAGAAGCTAGGTAAAGCTGTACTGTCTTGGTAACTTTTCTGTTTACCTAAAATTATTCCAAAATAAAAGTTTTTAAAAAGTAGGTTACCAAAATATGTGTGTATCAACCTGATTTTGTGAAAGTTGTATATATAAATATCTACATATGTATGTTTGCACTGGAAAAATGAATAAAAGATATATATGAGATGTCAACCATAGTCTACACGCAGTGATGTGAGAGAGGGAGACAACCTGTGCGCAAATCCCTGGTCCGCATCTCTCAGCCAGAGCCTGGAGGGGGCTTGGTCTACAGTGGGCTTGTGAGATCAGTTTCACAAGAATTAGAGAATCATCTCTAACTCATCGACTTTTTATCTCTCTCCACTCACCATGACTCATATTGAGGTGGAGCACTATGAGCAACATGTGCAATGAGCCTGTTCTTAGGCAAAAAAAAATACAGAAGTTTCAGCTGGGTGACACAAGGAAAGCCTCAGAAAGAGGTCTTAAAACCATTTCTTGCTTAGAGTGGCTCAAAGTGAAATTTGCAAGCTGAAGGGGAAATGCACAATTTTGAGCTGCCTGTCCCTGGTAAAGAGCTCCTGGTTTGTTCTCTTTCTCCTTCTAATGGAAATAGAAAGAAATTGGCTGCACTTCATAATGAGGGACCAATCACTCTTAGGCCCCTTGGGGCTTGCTGTAATAGCATTAAGTATGATGAACTCTTTCCATATTCAATTCTAGTGAGTGTATGATGCGATTCCATAGGAAGTATCTTGTAATTTGGCATTAATTAACGTCAATTAATGCATGCAACTGCTAGACTCTAGAATTAATTTCATTACTTTTCCCACACAGATGTTTTCCTTGCCATAGGTAATTAGGGCCCTGTGCTGCTCTTCCCAGGCATTCTCTCTCTGTGCAACAGCTGCTGCTTGGCGTAAGGCAGCTCCCACCCCTGCAAAATCTGTGATCTAGGGTAAGGCTGCCATTCAAAGGCTAGGCTTTGAGCAGAGGGACAGGGCTTTAAATGCAGGTTCAAGGCCTGCTTGGTAAACCTAAGCAGTCACTACACGTCTGTGAAGGCTGATCTGTAAAATGGGAACAGGTGTGAGGCATCCTGCCAGCAGTTGTGACAACAGGAGACTGAAATCCTGAAACCCACAGAGTCCAGGGCTGGGTTAGTCAGTGCTCCAGTAACGGCAGCTCTGGCTGCTACTGAAGCGCAGGCTCTTTGATCAGCAGTACTGCCCACTGTGTCTCATGGGAAAAGACTGCAAAGCGCTCCCAGACGCTTCCACTTGACTCAGTATCTTTCTTCATCAATATTTGGTTTGGGTCAAAGA